TTCCAGGGGAGGGGCTTCAAGGAGACCTACTGGCTGGTGGGGAAGGCGGGCTTCCCCAGACCCCTCCCCACACCTCTGGACATCAAACCACGGGTGAGTAAGTGGAATTTCCCCCAAAGCTTGGCCTCTGTTGTTTGAAATTTGATACTTGTTATTTTTCTGATTATAAAGGTATTACCTGCCTAGCAGGGATAACTTGGAAAATACAGAATTCTTTAATGATTAAATAATCGCCATCTTTCCACTCCTGAGAGACAGCCACTGTTAGCACTTTAGCATGGTTCCTGCCAGCCTGTTTCTGATGTCTATGTCATGGATGAGATCATGCTGCCTCCATAACTTCTCATTCTGGTCTGTGCTCTCCGCTCAACGTCCTGAGCGCCCTGGGTATCATTCAGAGCACTTCACTCACACTTGTAGTTACAGCATCAGGATTGCAACATGTGGCGGCCGTGATTAGCTCAACCTCCCTCTTGTCACTCAGCATGTAGAGTCTTCCCATTCTGAGCCCGTTACAGGTGGTACTTTGATAAATATCACTGGGCGTTTGTCACCATTCAGACTGTTTCCGCAGGGGGTATAGCTCAGTGGTAGAGCATTTGACTACCGACTATTTCCGCAGATGAGGAATTTACAGATCAAAGGCCCTCATATTTTAGGGGCCAAAAGAAGCAGATTCTCAGAGCTGGTGCCTGCCCTGCAGTTGGGCTCTTTCCTTTGTCCTCTGTCCTTTGCGACCCCATGTCCCTCGCTGAGGGCAACACAGGTGAGATGGGGGAGCTGGGGAAGCAAGAACATTTTACTGCAACGTGCTGTTCCTCACTCTCTTCCACTCGAGCACCAGGCGGTCCACAGGGGGCCACAGGGCGCAGGTGCTGCCCATAGCTGAGAATTAGTTTCCTAGAAATGAGGCAGCCCAGTGGCCCACAGGACCCCACGGGCTCATTCCACCAGTGGGTGGCTGGCCTGGGGATGGACAGAGCCCCATCAGGAGCCCACAGCACGACCACATCAGAGCTTCCTGCCCAGGGTCTTTCCTTCATTAGAACTTCCAACTGACTCCTCGCAGCAATTCCAGGATGGCCCCCTCCCATCTCTCAAAGACCAGAAATGTGTGAGGCACACATGGGCTTCCTGGGAAAAGACCAGCACTAAAGCAGCCTAGGCTGCGCGTCCTCCAAGTGGAAGGGTCGATATGGACGGGAGCTGAGGGCCGTCAGAGCATCCCTGCCCCCCAGCTATCAGGCTGCCCCCAGGCCTCAGGACCCCAGGGAACCCGGGCAGAGCAGTGCCTGGGGGCAGGCAGTGCCCTGTTCATCTTCATCCCTGAGTGCCCTCCCTGACACACACTGGGGTCCAGCGAGCTAGGGAGGAGGAGGGGGATGGATGGGCATATGGAGAAACCCTCGGGGTGCAGCACACACACAGATGCACCCTTTTTATTAGGACACTCCAGATTCCTGGGTGCAAAACCAGCTTGTGTTCACAGAAAGGCCCCCAGACAGCCCTGGGTCCTTCAACTTTGCAGACGGTTTGCCGGGAGAGGACCGGGCTCGGGACTGGCTGTGTGACGTGGGGCAGGTCCCTGACCTCCCTGGCCTTCCCGTGGGCCACAGCAGCCCCAGCTTACCCACCCCTAGGAGAGCATCTGAAGCCCCCTCACCCTGTTCAGTCCCTCTGGGTCCTCTACTCCAGCTGCCGTCCTCTGACCTCACAGCCGTCGGGCCGCCACTCCACTTCTGCCTCCATGGGCAGCCAGCCTTCTCAGAAGGCCCATCTGCCGATGCCGACTGCACTTCCTTATCTTCCTCTCCTGTGGCCCTCGCAGCCTGACGTCCACCACAACTCACCCAGAAGGCTCTGTGGGGTCACTGGTGCCCTCTACCCATGTCACCAGCTCCGTGGGCAGTTTTAGTTACCAGCCTGATTGCATGGTAACATTTCCCCGGCCTCCCTCGTCCTAGAAAGGTTCTCCAAGACCTCCTCGGCGCCCTGGCTGGGCTTCCCCGTCTCCAGCTCCTCCCCCCAGGGCTCCCCGGAAGCTCTCCTCTCCCCAGCCCCTCCTTTGCTGGGGCTGCACAGGGCTCCTCCCCCGGGCATCCCTTCCTATCCTGACGCTGATGACACCCCTTCTGGGCCTCGGGCCCCAGACGCGCTCAATAGTTCCTTGGCAGCCTGGCCTCCACCAGAGTTCTCTTCTTGTGGGTGGCCTCGCCACCCTCAGTCAGAAAGCTGGACACTGTCCTGGAGTCCTCAGCAAGTCCTGGAGCTCTGCTTCCATCACAGCCCGAAGCTGACGACTTCTCCATCACCCCCCCGCCTCGCCCGGTCACCGTGGGGGCTCTCGCCATTTCCCCTCATCCATCTCTGCCCGGTAGCCAGAGCAATCTTTCAATAAAACACAAACACGTTTCACATGGAAGTTCCATGTTTCACACCCTCGGGGGTCTTCCTACCTGAACTCTTTCATGCTGCCTCTGAGGTCCCGCTCTGTCCGGCCTGGGCCTGCCCCTCGGGCTCAGCTTTCCAGCACCTTCTGCTGTGAGTCACCTCCTCGGGGCCTCCCTGCTGCTCCTCAAGACACACCGAGCTTCCCACCTCAGGACCTTCGTTCTCGCTGTCCCCTGGCCTGGTCCCTCCCTATCCTGCAGGTCTCAGCTCTGTCGCTGCTTCCTTCACGGGGCGACTCTCGTCACACACTCTAATTGGAGCCCTGCTGCAGCCGCCATCCCATCTCCCAACACTGTGTCACTGTAGCACTTGGTTCTCCGTGATATTTCTTGCTGATGCATTTATGGAACTTTCCCCAGGAGAGTCTGGCTGGCCGATATGCCTGCGGGTCTGCCAGTGGCAGGCACCCAGGGAGGTGAGCTCCCAGCCCTGCTCCAGCCCACCCTGTCCTAGGAGTGGGAACCAGCAGGTCTGGCAGCCATTCGTCATCCTGAGCTCTCTCAGCTGATGACGTTTCCACTCCAGGCCAGAAACTTTAGGAAGTGCCAGCAACATTTTCATCTTCTTGACTCAGGGAGGGAAGAGAGCGGAGATTAGCCCCAGTGAGCTCCACCTGATCTGGGAGCCTCCCAGGCCTCTAGGCAGCAGGGAAGAATCCCACACCCACCTAGGCCCACGGGCTCAGATCCAGCAGGTGGGCGCACAGGGGCCCGAGCACCCAAGTGCACCTGCATATGCATACACACAGTCCGCCTGGCATGGGCATCAGATACATACAAACGTGGAAACACTACCATATGCCCCTCCATTTGCTTGGAGATGAGGTCAGAGACCCACAGAAACACAGACAGATATGCAGGCAGACACACAGAATCTCTGCAGGAAGGGCCAGATGGATGGGAACTTGTCTTGGACTTGGGTTTATGAGGCAGTTACCAAATTTTTACTTGAACTGTGTGCTATGGCTTGATTTTTTTTTTTTTTTTTAACAAAATTCGGTACGCGGGCCTCTCACTGTTGTGGCCTCTCCCATTGCGGAGCACAGGCTCCGGACGCGCAGGCTCAGTGGCCATGGCTCACGGGCCCAGCCGCTCCGCGGCATGTGGGATCCTCCCGGACCGGGGCACGAACCCGCGTCCCCTGCGTCGGCAGGCGGACTCTCAACCACTGCGCCACCAGGGAATCCCGGGTTTATTATTCTTGATTGCCCTTTTCCCCTAGGGACACCTGGCAGGACCTCATAAACCAAGAAATCAAGGTGGCCTTTGCCAAAGCCCACCAGAGCAGAGACGAACCTTGGAGCTCGGGTAGGGCCTCGGCCAGGCCCTGAGGAGAGGGACCGAGCAATGTCCAGCCCAGAGACTCCTGTGCCTGGACACCCCCAAGCCCTCTCCCTGCTCCACTCCGCACAAAGAACTCCCTTGGGAGTTCCCTGGCCGCCAACAGGGCACTCTTTTTTTTTTTTTTTTTAATCTTAACTCTAAACAAAAAACTCAACTTTTTTTTTTTTTTTTAAAGGAAAGAACTTTTATTAATTTATTTATTTTTGCTGTGTTGGGTCTTCATTTTTGCGCGAGGGCTTTTCTCTAGTTGTGGCAAATGGGGGCCACTCTTCATCACGGTGCACAGGCCTCTCACTATTGCGGCCTCTCTTGTTGCGGAGCACAGGCTCCAGACACGCAGGCTCAGTAGTTGTGGCTCACGGGCCCAGTTGCTCCGCGGCATGTGGGATCCTCCCAGACCGGGGCTCAAACCCGTGTCCTCTGCATTAGCAGGCAGATTCTCAACCACTGCGCCACCAGGGAAGCCCCCAGGGCACTCTTAATATGTGCCTAGAGTGATAGTAATTGATGCGTTCCTGTGTGAATCCTACAGGTAAACTTGCCTCATGACACAGAAACAATAAAAATAGAAATATTCTCTCCGTTCCCAGAGCACTTTGTTCTGGACAAATGGTTCTGACTCTGCGAGCTTGTTATAGAGCTCACTATTCCTTCCACTGAGAACACCATCCCCATCGTACAGCCGAGGTGCCCAGGCCCCAGGGGCGGAGATCATTTGTCCTGAGTGGTGCAGCTGCCCCGGGAAGAAGCAAGACGGGGACCAGGAGCTCGAGCCAGGCAGTCGAGGGCTCCAGGAGCCACTGGACCACCTGCTCACGTTACACCACTTCTCAGAGCCTCTGTTTTGTCATCTCTAAAATGGGTGTGGAGTGGGCCCACATGAGGCTTGCTCCTGACAGAGGGCTTCAGTGCACGGCAAACGTTCAGCACAAGCTGCCTCCTTCCTTGCCTCTCCTCCCTGAGCTGGCCTAACCTCTTGGGCATCTGTGACCACTGTGTTGGGAGTCCGGGTCTTGGGCTCCCAGAATCTAAGCGGAGGGGTCGGGAGGGGAGTCATAATTCCTGGGTTCTTAGGAAAATGAGGCTTCTGTCTTACAGGAAAAAAAAAGAAAAAAGAAAAAAAAACCCACATCCAACTCATTAAACTAGCTTCCAACATCAAAGTGTACTTTCCAAGCCCCCAAGGCTGATTTCAGAGCAGACAGACCAGGCACACGTGGAATTCATTTCCTTGACTGAGGGGAGAGGGCGGGGCCAGGGGCAGGTTAAGCCCTAAACAAACTCCCCCTTCTTCAAAAG